ATCCCATGGTGGAAGGCAGAAGGTCAAAAGAGCAGGGGGTGGGGAAGAAGGCAGCAGAACTCATCCTTTTATCAGGAACACACTCTTGAGATAACAAACCTACTCCCACAATAACAGTGTGAATCCATTCATGAGGGAAGAGCCCCATGACCTAATCGCCTCTTAAAGGTCCCACCTCTCAACATTCTTGCACTGGGGATTAAGTTTCCAACACATGAGCTTTGGGGGACACATTAAAGCCATGACAATATGTAAATTCCAAAACTCCAAAGAAAACTCCATTGGTCTAACAAGGCAGGAAAGGAGGGGAGGAGAACATGCAAATTAAATACATGGTAAATAGAAAACACAAAGTAAAAAGGTAGAACTATATCTACAGTGGAGCAGTAATAATAAATATATATGGATTAAACTCACATATTAAAAGAAAACCTCAGTTTTTTTTTTTTATAAGACACAGAATCCAGTTTGATGCCTTTTCTCAGAGGCACACTTACAATTATCCAGAAAAGCTCAAAATAAAAGGATGGAAAAAATATACCAGGCAAATACTAAGCAAAAGAAAGCTGGTGTAGCAAAATTAATGCAAAAACAGTAGTAGTTTTCATCCACAGGAGTATGGCACATCATAAACACCACACCAAGCAAATGTAGTTAGTATATTGAGCAAGAACTATTGGTGAGATACAATCAAAATGTAACTTTACTTTTGTCTAATCCTGTACTTTTAAAATTACATTTCTCTCAGGCCCCATGGCTTTCCTGCCACCTTACAGTCACTTTAAATCACAAATTGAGCCTCAATTCAGTGATTAGAACACCAAGTTCCAAATAATAAAGGGCCACTGAACTTGATTTATAGTTAAACCTTCTCTGCTAACCTAGCACCAACTTAAGGCAACCTCCCATATTTGAGCAAAGGGATGCACTGAGTTTCTTCTCTTTGCCCATCTTCCTTCCCCAGCTTGCTAATTTTGACTTCAGGCCTGTCCGGGGTTGGAGTGATGGGAAAGAGTAAGGGGGAAAGGAGCAGAAAATTCTTGTCTGGTTATGTAGTAAGTTGCCTTTAGTCTGTATGGATCTAGCTGTTTAAACGGGACTCTCATCAGAGGCTCCCTTACTGCTACCTCTGTATCAAAAACAAAACATGCTATTGCTGTTTCTCCTTCAGCTCTGAGTTTTTCAGCTGTCCATTCCATAGGGTTTTTCAGCTGGAATCTGTAGCATCCCCAAACAGCTCTCTTTGAGAGCAGCTCGCTCTACTTCATGGGCCGCTTCTTGTACATGGGAAACATGTATCTATCTTTTGCCCCCAACAAACTGGAAATGCAGACAGATCACAACACAGTTACCACTCCCACCATCACCACAGCCACATTCTCTAGCCAGTAAGATTTGTCAGTCTGGAAGCAGATCACATTCCACTGTGCCTTCCAACTCCAGGAGACACATATCAAGCTTTAGGGGATCCAGTTGAATCCATGGACTGAAAAGGAAAGCACCTCAACTCTTCCAACTTGGAAGCTCATTACAAAGAAATCTTCCTCACAATACTTCCTTCTTCATATCTCCTCTCTTGTCCCTTTTAATCCTCCTTGTGAGTTTTAGAGCCGCTTGGTTATTTCCTTTGAAAACCTGGCTTTGATTTCATATCTGTTATATCTTAATGCCTAAGAGGAAACTTTTAATTTAACATCCTGTCATGGAAATCTAAACCAACTAGTCCCTGAGTCCTGGAAGGTCACAGTATAACGTTAAAAAAAATTTTTTAAGGTAGAGTGGGGGAAAGTGTGGGTTTTGGAGTGTGACAAACCTGGGTTCGAATCCAAGCTCTCAAACTTACTAGATTTAGGGTCTTGGAATATATACTCAACCTCTGAGTTCTGTTTCTTCTTCGTTTAGGGAAGATACTGCTGCCTACCTTGGTAGAAAGCAATTCTGCCTACCTACAGAATTATGGGAATTAAAGAGAGAACCAACTTAAAACACAAAACACTTCATCTGGCCCATAGTGGACACTCAAACAAATATTAGTTCCCTTCCTACCTGCCTCCTCCTTTCCTTGAAAGTTATGCCTTTGACATTCTTTACTTTCTAAAGAACATTTGTAAATGCAATAACAAGAAGGGGAAAACACAGGTATGATCTTCAGTGCCATTTCTGTATTCTAGAATGAGCTGTCTGATGGATCCTACAGGAAAAGGAACAATATCATCATACCATTTTCCTTTTGGGAGTTACCCATCCAATGAAGTTGAAAGTAGGGGGCAACAATAATCAAGCTATTTAACTGTTTCATATGTTTTCCTGAAACTTAATTTTAGCTTATAGGTTAAAAATCAATAAAGCACGTGTACTTAGAGCTCCAGAACTTTAGAATGAGAGTTCCAGTGCCAAACCCTTCAATAGCTACTGGAACTGGTAAGATCTTTCCCCCTTCTCTGACTTTATCTATCGGAGACGGTAAACAAACAAACAAACAAACAAACACCCAGCTGATATTTATTACTTACTATGTGTTGACACTAAATGGACTATGTAATAATTTATGTAAACCTCACAGCAACCCTAAGAGGAAGTAATGGAATTATCCCCATTTTACAAAAGAGGCACAGAGGCACAGCTAAGAGTGGCAGATCTGGGATTTGAACCCAGTTAGTGACTACTCTTGACAACTCTTAGCTACTGTACTATCCTGGCTCTCTGAAAAGGAGCATATTTTGAGAAATGTGAAACTTGAGATCTCATTTGTGAAAGCACCCTGACTATATAACAGGCCCACCTAAAAGCTGATGTCAAAATAAGATTAGACATAAATAGATTTACTGAGGAAACACGATAGACAAAGGGAGAAAGAACAAGAGAAGATGGGGAGAGCCTTTAGACTGTGATCCACATGTCACATCTGGAAAGCAGAGGGAAGGAAGAAGAGTTAGGTAGAAAGAGTCTCAGACTTCAGTGCATTTGAGAAGCTCTGGACCAGGCCAATGGGGAGTACAAGCAAAGATTAAAAGTCTCCCATTGAGCAGAAATGGCATGGCTCTAGTGGCTCAGCTGTGCTAACTCATGGTATGGGAGCAGTCTGGGAAAAGTGTGTCCTTAGCATGAATCATGAATGTAAGGGTAGATTCAGTGACTGTTTCCTTGCAGTCCACTTACCTTCTGCTGACTGAACCCTGAATATTTTGCAAAGACCCTGAGCCTGATCCCTTCTACGCTTCCTCACCAGAGGGTCTCACACTCTTCTGCACTGTCTCCTAAGAGCAGGGGGATCCTGGTTAGCACAGAGCTCTCTCTCCAAGGTTCTAGATGTTCCGTGCTTTCTGCTCTGCAATTGGCCAGGTAAGTAACTGCTTGGATATGTGATTGACATTCCAGCCTTCTGTGTGGGTAGGGAGGTGGTGAGGGGCCCACAGCAGCAGGCTCTGGATGCTGCTGACCCTCCACCACCAATGCCTTAAAAAGCACCTTCACACCAATTCACAGCTTGACTGTCCTGGCTCCCAAGTCGTGAGCTGGGCCTGCAGTACACGGGGATTTTCAGATAGGAGGTGATACCCCCTTTCTCCTAAGATGTAGGACCACATGTGTTTGCAAATTCCCTTTATCTGGGGTCTTCTGTACTTCTGGGCTTGGGATGACTGAGGCATCAGATGCACTGCACCAGGCAGACACAGAGCTAAAGTCCTTGCAGAACCAACCAAACAGGCCAGTGCACATCAAGGTCCTTCTGGGAGCCTGAGCAAGGTGGGTGGGAGAGGGATGGGTGAGGTTTTGTGTGCTGTCTAACCCCATTTTTGCCCCAGTCTTCTTGGGGGCTACTTCACTGGACTCTGAGAAAAGGGTCAGCCTCTTCTGCTTCAACCCCAAGTTACCTGGTCAGATCTGTTCAGATGTCTGCTTGCTCAAAGACTATCCCAATGAATGTTTCCTGCCAGGACACTTTGGGGCTTTATCTCCTCCCCTGCAAAATGTTCCCCAAAAGAGAGAGGGAAAAGGAGGGAAAGGCAAAGTGCTCTGACCTGCAATAGAGCAGTCAGTTCTCCTCCCCCAGGTATGCCTGTGCAGGGCAGCTTGACCATTAGCCTAAGAGGGCCCTGTGCCTGCTGTAGGCTGGAGCAGAGAAACAACAGTCAGACCCACCCCAGAGGGGAATGTGGCCTGAGTGAGCCCTTCCACCTCCTGCCTAAGCACCACCACTCTTAGCGTTAGGAGGATGGATTTATCCTTTCTTGTAAAACTAATTCCAGTGAGCCTGGAACCTGATCTCACTCCAGCCAGAATTCCAGTTTGACTATTACCCATCAGGCTGCCACTGGCCTTGAAGAATGGTCTGCAGACATGAAGAGCTCCAAAATGGCATCACAGAGAAAACCAAAAGCAAAGGTCACATTCATTCTTGCTTTGCTCCATAGAAGCTTAATTTTCTTATATTACACTTGCTACTTTTTCTTTAGAACTTTTAATTTTTTGTTTTGTTTTAGTATTTTAGAAAGGCATTTTCCCCTTGAATTCTTATGAATATTTTATTATAGTTTCTTTTTCTCACTTTACACCCACCCTACACAGAAAACTATACTTTCTAGTCCCCTGTCCCCTCTATCCCCTTGCTGTGAGGTGAGACCATATGATAGTTTTGGCTAATCAGCTGTCAACCGCAGTAACAGGTTACTTCTAGACTAACCTATAGTGGGATGAGAGTCTTCCATTACTCTCTACCCCTGCCATAGTGATCCGTGATGTTCCAGGCTGTAGAGCTTCTGTCAGCCTGAGGTCCTGAGACTGGGGACCAGGGCCCTTTCACCCCACACTTTCACCAACACATGTTGGGCATTTATTGTGAGCTAGAAATAAACCTTTGCAGTGTTAAGCCGCTGAGATTTTTTTTTTCCCCAAAAGGGAATGAGGAGGCAGGGCAGGAGTGTAGGGAATGCAGTTTCAGAAAGGCGCCCGCCCCCACCCACCACTCTCACGCCCACCTTCAGGGATGGGGTGCTTACCTCTTTTTCCATCTTTCGCTCAAAACTCCCACATCCTCTGTAATAGGAAGCTAACATCCACACAGGGTTTCTGCTCATCTCCCCAGCATTCCCCACTGCCCACCATTTTCTGAATTAAAATGGGCAGGGGGCGTGGCTGTGGGAACTGCAGTACAAGACCCGCTGCGGTGTCCGTTTTCCATTCCACAGGTTTGCAGGTGATTCCTCCCCTCACACCGACTTGACTTGCGGAGAGCCAGGACATTTTTCTCCTCCCCTTTCCCTGAGCGAGAAGCTAGCTTGCTTTCAATACAATAGGGGCCCGGTACACAAAACTGACGGCCATTCCCATCCCAGATCCCTCCCCCAAGCCCACCATTTTTTTCCCCCTAAAATAAATCGGCGTAGGGGCCGGAAAGGGGTATAGTCAACGCAGTCTTGGACGCGTTATGATCTTCTGCTTCGCCTTCAGATAGCCTGTAATCATTCAAACCTTTTCAGATCCGCGGCCAACAGTAGTCTCCTCCTTTTCTGTTTAGTAGCAAGAAGCACTCCCGCCTGCCTCTAAGGCAATAGGGAGATGGTGCTCAGGATGGAAAGAGAACTCAGACTATATACTGACTTCAATTCACGTCAGCCCTTTGTCCAGTGAGGCCCGTGTGTTAACAGTGAGCTCGGATCCCTAATTAGCCCTCCCAACAGCACTTCAGCAGAAGCCGGGTTGCCCATCCCCAGCCCAACCTGACAATCTGAAAGGGTATCATCTTCCTAGAGTATTTATTCGCCTTTCTCAGATTATCAGGGAGGATCAGCCTTTTAGAGTTAATTGATCCTGTCTTCTTTTTTTCTCTCCTGTCTCTAAATTCTCCACCTCCCCTCCCCCAAGATCCTGAAGTCTAGCAGCTCCCTGGCAGTTCTGTCCAGACGCTGAAATGGGGCTCAGGAAACAAACTGGGAGGGAGAGTGAGTGAGGTTTCACCAATTCTTTTCAATATTTGTATGTTCTGTTCCTTATAGTTATTATCTTTACTATTATTACTAACAGCCTACATCCTGTTTGTCACTAGAAAATAGAAAACAGCTATTTATTTTCAGATGGGAAGCAGGAGGTAGATTCAAGTATGCATGTGGGTGAATAACCCAGCCAACTGTTTTTGCTGCTCAATAATAATACAAATATAGATACTCTAGGCGCCACTATTTTGGATGTTTGAAATGTACAGAGCAGCTGGAGGCTCCCCTTATGAGGGGCCCCTATGTTGTGTGAGGCTTTTCCATGAAGTCAGACATTGAGGTCACATAATCCCATAGTACAGAGGACACCTTGGATTTTCAGATTTCAGTAGATGGTCATAATGTTGTAGTCTTTACAAATTATATTAATTCAACTTCCACAATTGCTATATTTCCCAGTTCTCAACCACATCCACATCCCTATTAACCCTTTCCAATTGCAACTCAAAAGCTCCTACTTTTTATGACCTCAGGGACAGATCCGGATTTTGGGTACTGAAATTTATAATTTGGAGGACTCTAAGAAAAAGAATATTAAAAAGTATGAACAATTCAAGCAACTATGTACAAAAGTTAACATTTACTTATTATGAGAAATCACAACAAATTACAAAATTGAACAGCTGACATATTTTTTAAAAATTTCCAGAAAAATAACATTGTCTTAATTAACTGCCTGGCATACCTCTACAGTGATTTTTTTCACTACAATTTTTGGCTACAAATTCTTTGATCTTTTCTTCATATGACATTTTTGTAATAACATATTTTCTTTCTTTTTTCTTTTTTTTTTTTTTTTGAGATGGAGTCTCGCTCTGTCGCCTGGGCTGGAGTGCAGTGGCCGGATCTCAGCTCACTGCAAGTTCCGCCTCCCGGGTTTACGCCATTCTCCTGCCTCAGCCTTCCGAGTAGCTGGGACTACAGGCGCCCGCCACCTCGCCTGGCTAGTTTTTTGTATTTTTTAGTAGAAACGGGGTTTCACCGTGTTAGCCAGGATGGTCTCGATCTCCTGACCTCGTGATCCGCCCGTCTTGGCCTCCCAAAGTTGAGTCACCGTGCCCGGCTGTAATAACATATTTTCTAGAAAAAAAAGATACTCCAATCTTTCCTTTGGCACAGTCAAGCAATTTTAAAATTATGATTGATAAAAGTTTCAGCTTTACAACTTATCATTGGCAACCGGTAAATTTTTAGTTTTGTCAAATTTGAGGAAACTGCTGTCAACCTCTGTCAAGTTTCTTTCTTATATGGGTTTTAAGATTTCAGAACATTTCAAGTTTTCTTGTGCAGATACTAATCTTAAGTATACTCAATGGCATACACAAATCCGTGTAATGTTAATGTCCTCATTGTAGTATATTTTGTGTTTTATGGTATTTTAGTCAGTGTCAGTATTGCATGCCAATTCATTCAAGAAATTAATATGAACCAATTTAGATGTGATTGGGCAAAGCCACAGGCATGGTTGGTGCAAAAAAAAGACCAATAGTCAATTTTTGATTAATCATATGTTGCTTGCTTATTGGGCAGCAGTGGGAACTAAGACTAATAAAACATCAGGTAGGAGGAAATAGTATCAAATGCTGCCAGGAGGTCGATGACAGACCACCATGCTTTTAAAGTAAGGTCTAAGATTTTTCAATGGTTTACTAAGCATATGAAAGACAATTGAGTATAGTGTTAGACTTATTATAATTAGAGTCTGACAACCCTAGTTTGAATCTTAGAGCTTCCACTTGCTACCTTGAGAAATCTTACTGGTAATTGCTTAATTATACATGAGATTAAGACACAAATGAGTAAATTATCCAACTAAAATCAAACTAAATGTAATTCCAAATCAACTTCCCTCTTAGCTTGCTCTCCAACATGCTGGCATCCATCTCATCACCAAGAAGAGGAGGGGAATTTGAAGTAGAAAGAAACAGTAATCTTTTTTCTTTTTTATTTCACTCAGATTAGAAAAACCTTCTTGTAGGAGCTCCAAGAATTTTATTTACTTTGAGTGTCTTGCCTTAGACGGTTTTTAAAACACAAATGTCATCCTAGACCTGCTGTGTCAGAATCTTTGTTGCTAGGGACTCAAGTACTGTATTTTCAAAAACATGCACAGATGATTCTGCTAAGCATACCTTGTTATGAACTGTATGACAGACTTTACAAATTCTATTCTTGCCATCCTCTGAGGAGTAATTATTTTTCTTTCCAACTTTTATTTTATGTTCAAGGGGTACATGTACGCATTTGTTACTTGGGTAAATTGCATGTCATGAGGGTTTGGTGTACAGATTATATCATCAGTCAGGTAATGAGTTTAGTACCTGATAGGTAGTTTTTAAATCCTCTCCCTCCTACCACACCCCACCCTCAAGTAGGCCCTGGTGTCTATTGTTTCCTTTGTGTCCATGTATACTCATTGTTTAGCTCCCACTTATGAGTGAGAGCGTGCATTATTTGGTTTTCTGTTCCTGCGTTAATTTGCTTAGGATAATGGCCTCTAGTTCTATCCATGTTGCTGCAAAGGACATGAACTTCTTTTTATATGGCTGCATAGTATTCCATAGTGTATATGTCTCACATTTTTTTTTATCCAGTCACCTCTAATGAGCACCTAGGTTGATTCCATATCTTTGCTATTGTGAACAGTGCTATGATAAACATATACATACATGCGTCTTTATGGTAGAATGATTTATATTCCTTTGGGTATATACCCAGTAATGGGATTGCTGGGTTGAGTGGTAGTGTTTTTTAAGTTCTTTGAGGAATTTCCAAACTGCTTTCCACAATGGCTGAACTAATTTACATTCCCATCAGCAGTGTATGAGTGTTCCCTTTTCTCCACAACCTTGCCAGCATGTTATTTTTTGATTTTTTAATTATAGCTATTCTGACTGGTATAAGATGGTATCTCATTATCTTTTTCATTTGCATTTCCCTGGTGATTAGTGATGTTGAGAAGTTCATGTTCTTTGCAGCAACATGGATAGAGCTAGAGGCCATTATCCTAAGCTTATGAGCTAGAAGGTAGGACTTGACTCTGGAGGTGGAGCTCAGACACCAGACCAAATTGAGGACTAGCTAAAACAGGGACAGGGTGGAAGTAGCCTTCCATAAGAGATGCCCGCCAATGTGTCATATCAGTTTACCATTGCCATGGCAACACCTGGAAGTTACCACCCTTTTTCTAGAAATATCTGCATAATCTGCCCCTTAATTTGCATATAATTAAAAGTGAGTATAAACTTTACTGTAAAAATTACTGAGCTGCTACTGTGGGCACACTGCCTGTGGAGTATTCCTGCTCTACAAGGAGTAGTACCTATGCTGCTCCTGTATGCTGCCACTTTAATAAAAGTTGCTGTCTAACACCACTGGCTCACCAAGAACCTTCCCTGGCTAAGCCCCAGTTTGGGGGCTCAAATGCCCTGCATCATTTGGCCACCAACGAAGGGATAAAGACAGTGAAAATGGCAGCAATCGATGGAGAGGTGAGATGGCAAGACAACAGAATTGGTGGCAATCAGTGATCAGCTGAGAGGTGGTAATTGGTGAGAGACAATGAAGAGAGATGGCAGTCAGTGAGACAAGTAGACAGATGGTGAGAGATGGTGAAGCTGCAAGAGTTATAACACCAAAGCTGTAACAGTAAAGAGCTGCTAACACTACAGAGCTATAACACTAACCAAAGGCTCTTTTCAGAGCCATCATTTTCCCTGGCAGGTGGTGAACCTGAGCAGATGAACCAGTAGTCATAGTGCTGCTGTCTTATGTGAGACCCACCATTCTGAGCAGCAGGCTGGTGGGTTACTGGTTCATGCCAGCCCCCATGTGGCAGCCAAGCCCACTTGTCTGTTCTCACATTGCTATAAAGAACTACCTGAGACTCAGTAATTTATAAAGAAAAGAGGTTTAATTGACTCACAGTTCCACAGGTTGTACAGGAAGCATGGCTGGGGAGGCCTACGAAAACTTACAATCATGGCAGAAGGCAAAGGGGAAACAAGCACATCTTCACATGGCCAGCAGGAAAGAGAGAGACAGAGAGAGAGAGAGAGAGAGAAAAGAAGAAAGAAAGAAAGAGAAAGGAAAGAAAAAGAAAGAAAGAAAGAAAGAAAGAAAGAAAGAAAGAAAGAAAGAAAGAAAGAAAGAAAGAAAAGAAAAGAAAAGAAAAGAAAAGAAAAGAAGGAAAGAAAGAAGGAAGTACTACACACTTTCAAACAACCAGATCTCATGAGAACTCACTCACTGTCATGACATCATCCAATCACCTCCCACCAGGACCCTCCCCTAACATTGAGGATTATAATTCAACATAAGATTTGGGTGGTGACACAGAGCCAAATCATATCGCCACCCAAGTTGAGGAAACCTGGAAGACCTTTACCCGGGTCCCACATAGAACATTGGTCATCATGATTTTGGCTACTGTGCATGAATGAGTGTCCTCCACCCTCTCCCACAATATTAGGTAAGCTGGGGAATAAAAGTCTTTGGCTATGTGTTCAGTTAAAAGTCGCCCATTGTTTGAGTGCCCTGAAACACGTCCTTGTCACCCCCCCCAGTCCTTTCTCTTATGACTTCATTTTATTGCTCTGCCAGTTGTTTTATTTTCAGTTCTAAAATGTGTGTTTTGTTTGCAGTCTTATGTTTGCTTTGATTTTCTGTTAACTGTATATGGGCATTTGTTTAAAGCAGGACACTTGGTTGTGAGAGGCCCCCTATTGTGTTGACTCTGGGACACCAGAGTCACATTGTTCTCTGACCCCAGCTTGGGTTTGGGTTCACTGGTGGCCACCTCCTGGATGCCCCTGGTATTTGGTGATGGGACCCTCATTGGCTGAAACTCCGGCACTCTGGGTTTTCAGCACTGGCATTTTCGGCTACCTTCCAGATGCTCTGGGGTTTTCAGCATTGACATTCCCTCTAGGATTGTAGGTTATAATCCCTCTCCCTAGGGGAATAGTGGTCTTGCCTTTTTCTGCCCTGAAGTTAGAAGTTATTATTTTCCTAGCAGGCAGTCGCAGGCTCCTTCTTGTGTGCTGACTTATAACTGCTTTGCTCAAACACCCTCTAAGCTGAAGGAACAGGGAGTTCCTAGGCTCCTGGCCTGACAGACAACCACCTACAATGGTAGAAAAGTGGCTGCCTGAACATTTATTTTGGTGTCTCTACTGCTGGATAGGTTCTCCAGCAAGTCGATACCTCTGAGGTCTCCCCTTGGGTAACACTGTTTACCCCCTTCCCCTCCTCCCTTCCCATTCACCAATTGTTTAGTCCTCTTCTCTGCTTAACCCTCACTGTCTGTGGATTTTAGGCTCAACATGCTACTGCCCATTTGTAACTTGTAATCCACTTTTGTAATGCCTTGCTACCTATACTTACACCTTCTCTGCAGGAAGTGAGAATCTAAAAGTGAAAAATAATGACTCAGTTGCTTTCCCTCTTGCTAGACTTAGGAAGACTTCTGTGACCTCTAAAACTTCTGTATCCATGGGGACAATGACGAGCATCTCAGAGGACTCACCACTAGGATATCTTTTAGGCTATTGGAGCAAATTCAAATTTGACTTAATGAAAAAGAAACTCATTTTCTATTGCAACATAGTTTGGGTTCCGTACTAATTAGAAAACCAAATTTGGCGTAAACATGGTTCTATATATTGTAACGATAATTTACAACTGGACTTATTTTGTAAAAAAGAAGGAAA